GGTTAATTGCGCGGTGCCCTGTTTGCTCTCGTTTATTTCAAAATACCTTATTCGGATCAATAATTAGCGGATACGGAAAGTGCGAAAATATGACTTATCGATTGTATGCGAATTGTTGCAACTGCGAGACACCGCTACAGCATCCGAGCGTATGAGGGTCGTGGATAAGAAAGACCACAATCAGTCTTAAATAGGGAGGAAGATATTTTACACTCTGTTGAGGAAAACCCGAGCCTCAGTACCCGCGATGTTTCACGCGAAATGTGTGTTTCTAATACTGTGAGACGTGTGTTACGGGAGTAGTTACTAACCATTATCATACGCAAAAATGTTCCGTTTCTTTGATTTTTTTTTTACCTTGAAAATAGACATTTTAGACCACAGGTGTCGTAATGAAAAGTGTTTATTTTCACGTTCTCCATTAACCCTTTATAGGAACGTACACTTATTTCAGAAACACCCTGTAAATCGAATATCGTCGAAATAGAAGCATTATTAGAATCATCTTTTGAATTGTTATGTGCTGCTCCTGATTTATTGGACTTTCACGCAAAATTACAAAATAATATGTATAATTTACGATAAAAAAGATATTTTTTACACTAATCTATTATGTAGTGATACGTATCATTTCTTTTTGAATTATGAATTCGATTTTATCACTCAGAACTAGTGTTTAAGTTTGATTGTACCACTACCAAAATTTTGACGAAGGTCATTAAATTTAGGAACTGCTAAAAAAGTTCCTAAAACAAAAAGCTGCTTACAAAATGTACGTATTACAATATTATGATACCTGTTAAAAATAACTAAAACTACCAGTTCTATAGATAGTACTAAGGTAATTATTACAAACCTATTAAATTTATATTTATGCCCCAAATCAGTCTTAATGAAAAACAATTTTCCAGAAATATTTACAGAACCGAAGGTATGAAAATCAAGTTGATATGCTTAGGGAAAGTGGACGTTTTATTTCAACATTTGTTCACTTCAAACAAAGTAAAGCCTATCCTACGTCGCTATATAGTACAAATCAATAAAGATATAAATTTTAGTGTGCTTACTGATTAAGTTAGAACTGTAACAATATTTTACATCATATTTTCGTTTACAGAGGAAACGGTACTCCATCCTTCAGGATAACCGGAGATGAGTCAATGTTTAGCAGTTTTGTTCAAAATCATTTAACATGTCGCTATAATTTCATTATAGAGATTCATTTTATATCTTTGGTTATCCTGGATACTCGTGGCTACTGTCTTCTTAAAAAAATGAATAAGTAATTTAAAATGCCGGCATGGATTGTTTTCCGTAATTGCAGAGTCGAATTTAAAAAATTTAGAAACCATGTTAATCAGAATACGAACCAAAATGGGTTGAATTACATAGACCCACAAAATTATAAATTAGACTTTACGTTTTCGAAAGTTTTTGACACTCCGAATCGCAGAATTCAGAATTGCTCATCTCGTCAGATTTTTAAGATATCCTAATCTATTTGAGGTTATGTTGCAACATGAGTTAATCTTTCCCTACAAGTCTCGTTATGGTATCTGAACGTACTACCTTTTCGATCGATCTCTTTGAGAATTCGCCTAAACTCACACTGGTTCTTCAGATTTTCGTGGTCGCTGATTACGAACCTTAACTCAGAATTACTTCTTTTGTACATCTTTTTATTTATCTTTTGGATGTTCTGTACAATTGAAATTAATTTAAGATGACAGTGCCACCCGTGAAGACGGACCTGTTTCCAAAGCGATCTCCTTCATAGTAAATACATTTGACTTAACGCTACCTACTGCTATAAAAAATTTATACAATGCTATAATTTGCGAACCGTTCTGTCTCCAGTTTATGTCGCGCTACTAGTGAACAAGACCGAATTCTTGTAATAACCGGAACGATCTTGCAGTGGAGACTTTACGTCTCTTTCTGCCTGCTGCTGCCGCGATTTCCTCTCCATCTCTAGCTCCTGGGCCAGGGAATCTGCAAAAGAAAGAGGGTGTTAGATGGGATAGTATACTGATACAGAATTTGTAGGAAATAAAGGAAAGTATGGTGATATACATAAAATGATAGTTTTACACAAGTATTAAATTTCATACGGTCGTACTTTTAATTCTTCTTAGAAAATGCTGCAGTAGTAAGATTGTTTTTTATATATATCTTAAAATAAATAAGATAATGGCAAAATTAGTAAAATAGGAAAAAATAAAAGAATACAAAGTTGAAATATTTTTTAATAAAATTATAACGACATATATATGGTTATCATTAGTAGAATTTGAATAAAGTATGTTTCATTTCTCTTATTTTTTTTATATAAAAGTATAATGACTGTCGGTTGCCAAGCTTCTACAAGCCAAAGTCGGGTTAAAATGTCAAAGAAACAGGACAAGAACAAGAGGAAGGACAAGGACAAGGACAAGAATGAGAACGAAAACGGTAACGGTAACAAGGACGAGAATGGATATGGAAACGGTAATAAGAACGAGAACGCCAACGAAAACGAGAACAAAAACCAGGAGAATGAGCAGAACGAGAACAGAACGAGAACGGGAATGAGAACGAAAATGAGAACGATAACCAGAACTAGAACCAGAACGAGAACGAGAACTAGAACAAGAACGAGAACAAGGACAAGGACAAGGACAAGGACAAGGACAAGGACAAGGACAATAACAAGAACTAGAAAGAGAACCAGAACCAGAACTAGAATTAGAACTAGAATTAGAACTAGAATAAGAACTAGAATTAGAACTAGAATTAGAACTAGAATTAGAACTAGAATTAGAACTAGAATTAGAACTAGAATTAGAACTAGAATTAGAACTAGAATTAGAACTAGAATTAGAACTAGAATTAGAACTAGAATTAGAACTAGAATTAGAACTAGAATTAGAACTAGAATTAGAACTAGAATTAGAACTAGAATTAGAACTAGAATTAGAACTAGAATTAGAACTAGAATTAGAACTAGAATTAGAACTAGAATTAGAACTAGAATTAGAACTAGAATTAGAACTAGAATTAGAACTCGAATTAGAACTAGAATTAGAACTAGAATTAGAATTAGAACTCGAATTGGAACTAGAATTAGAACTCTAACTAGATCTAGAAACAAGAACGAGAACTTGAACAAGAATGAGAACTAGAACTAGAACTCGAACGAGAACGAGAACGAGGATGAGAACGACAACGAGAATGAGAACGACAACGAGAATGAGAACGACAACGAGAACAAGAACAAGAAACAAAAACGAAAACCAGAACTAGAACCAGAACGAGAACGAGAACGAGAATGAGAACGAGAACGAGAACAAGAGCAAGGACAAGGACAAGAACAAGAACTAGAAAAAGAACCAGAACTAGAATTGAAACTAGAATTAGAAATATAAATAGAATTAGAACTCGAATTAGAACTAGAATTAGAATTAGAATTAGAATTAGAACTGAGAACTAGAATTAGAACTATGACTAGATCTAGATCTAGGTCTAGATCTAGAAACGAGAATCAGAACTAGAACTAGATAGAGAACTAGAACGAGAACGACAACGAGAACAAGAACTATAAAGAGAACCAGAACCAGAACTAGAATTAGAACTAGAATTAGAACCAGAATAAGAACTAGAATTAGAAGTAAAATTAGAACTAGAATTAGAACTATAACTAGATCTAGATCTAGAACTAAAAGTAAACTCGAATTGGAAAAAGGACAAGATAAAAACACAAACAAGAGGAACAAGAACAAAAGCAAGAACAGATGCAAGAGCAAAAGCAGGAGAAAAGAACACCCAGTGAAAACACGAACGTTAAAATTGTATTTACTGATACTTTAACCTTTAAATGAAGAACCATTTAAATGTCCCTTTAATACATGTTATTTTTAACTAGAATTTTGACGTTATTTTAGGGTTCTTTAATAGTCTCAGTTACTTTAAATCATACCAGGTGCAATTAATTAAATAGATCAGCCTAAAATTTCTCCCCTTGGCTTTATTATAACTACAATAACTTTATTTTGTCAAATTTTTTTCTTTTGTTAATTAACTTTATGCAATCTATCCACTCGACGTTTCTTTTAAGTTATAGTTTAGTTTAATTTAAAACGTTAAATTTTCAATCTATCGTTGAGCAATGTGAAAAAGAACAATAACAGAAACAGTAACAGGAACAAGAACAAAATGAAGAAGAAAAAGAAGACTAACAAGACCGGGTTAAATTTTTATGTATATTTCATATATTCCGTATTTTTCATATTTCATGTGTCATATTTTTAATCTATTTATTGTGAAGTTAAAAAGTTGTGAAGCACCCTATTCCAGGTAATATTTTCACCTGTTTATTCTGTTTCAGAATGGAGTGTTATCAAACAACTTACGCCACTAAACAACTAGGTACAAATTTTTTTCGGATAGTTGCCTATCCCTCAGAGTATCAAGTTTGGGACGCTAAACAGGGGTGGGAAGGCAGAAAAATGGTAGTAGCGGCATCCCCGGTAACCGGAACCACGCTTTAGTCCGGGCATTGTTTCGGGCCGGCCGCCCAGCCGAAGACACCGGCCTACATCGATCCATAATAATCTCCCGTGATTAGGGCTAATTCAATTGGAATCCTTTCCTTGGGCGAACAATGGGAAGTTGGTCGCGGGGCCCGTAATGGGTCCCAAGACGGCCGCGCAGTCTTGCCCGGACCCCCAGGCCCGGCGTGGACAAGAGGAAGCCGGCACAATATTAACTAATTACCTATTCATTAAGGCTTAAAGTGGCAAGTTGGTCCTGAATTATTCCCGGCTCCGGAGGGCAAGTTCCGGAAGTGAGGTAAGACGCAGAAGCTCGCCGGAAGCCGCCCTAATGGATGCCCAACTTATAATATCCCAACTAGCGTGCTTTATTAGGATTGATTGGTNTAGTAAATACATTTGACTTAACGCTACCTACTGCTATAAAAAATTTATACAATGCTATAATTTGCGAACCGTTCTGTCTCCAGTTTATGTCGCGCTACTAGTGAACAAGACCGAATTCTTGTAATAACCGGAACGATCTTGCAGTGGAGACTTTACGTCTCTTTCTGCCTGCTGCTGCCGCGATTTCCTCTCCATCTCTAGCTCCTGGGCCAGGGAATCTGCAAAAGAAAGAGGGTGTTAGATGGGATAGTATACTGATACAGAATTTGTAGGAAATAAAGGAAAGTATGGTGATATACATAAAATGATAGTTTTACACAAGTATTAAATTTCATAAGGTCGTACTTTTAATTCTTCTTAGAAAATGCTGCAGTAGTAAGAGTGTTTTTTATATCTCTTAAAATAAATAAGATAATGGCAAAATTAGTAAAATAGGAAAAAATAAAAGAATACAAAGTTGAAATATTTTTTAATAAAATTATAACGACATATATATGGTTATCATTAGTAGAATTTGAATAAAGTATGTGTCATTTCTCTTAATTTTTTTTATATAAAAGTATAATGACTGTCGGTTGCCAAGCTTCTACAAGCCAAAGTCGGGTTAAAATGTCAAAGAAACAGGACAAGAACAAGAGGAAGGACAAGGACAAGGACAAGAATGAGAATGAAAATGGTAACGGTAACAAGGACGAGAATGGGTATGGAAACGATAATAAGAACGAGAACGGCATCGAAAACGAGAACAAAAACCAGGAGAACGAGCAGAACGAGAACAGACCGAGAATGAGAACGTGAACGAAAACAGAACGAGAACGGGAATGAGAACGAGAATGAGAACGATAACCAGAACGAGAACGAGAACAAGAACGAGAACAAGAACGAGAACAAGAACAAGGACAAAGACAAGGACAAGAACAAGAACTAGAAAGAGAACCAGAACCAGAACTAGAATTAGAACTAGAATTAGAACTAGAATTAGAACTAGAATTAGAACTAGAATTAGAACTAGAATTAGAACTA